CGCTTGCACTGTGTTGACTCCTGATGTTGAGGTTTGGTTCTCTGTCTGACCCCAGACAGAAGATATAGGCTTCGGAATGACAGATGCGGTGATAGGTGCGAGCCTGACCAATTTGATGTATGTTGCCGCATAATTGACATTGCCGACCTTTAGGCCATGAAGCTTCTTCGTCAATCTTTCCACCTCTTCCCCAACTTTCTCCTTTACCTCCACCTTCCATGTCCACTCTTTCCCCTTCCTCTTCTTCTTCACACCATCGTCGCTATCACTGTCAGAATCAGACGAATCATTCACAGAAGCATCACCATCACTTGAAGAATCCGATGAGCTGCTATTGCTCTTTGAGTGCCTGTGTTTGCTCTTCTTTGACCTCCTTCCTTGTACAGGAATCGGGTCGTCGCTGTCCGAATCCAACGCATCTTCCCCCAACACCCTCCATGCTGCTTTGATGACGGTTTCCACTGATGGCATAACCTTCACATCTCTGGCAGCATCAGTCATGTCGAGTTGTTGCTTAATCAACTTCCTCGTCACCTTGGGCAGGCCATTCCAGAAGTACTGATTACTGTCCAGTGTGCTGATCTTGTTCTTGGCAACTAGGAACTTTGCCATTGGCTTGAAATGTGAGTAATACTTCATAAAATGTTCCTCTGTGTTGATGCGTTTTTCAGCTGTCACCTTCGTCAATTTCTCCAAGTCGTGCACAGTGTATGCCTTGCCTTCCTTGGCACCCGGATACTGCTCCAAAACCTCCTTTTTGAAAGCAGCCCAATCCTTCAGAGTTGCGCTGTAGGCGTCCAGAGACTTCCAAAACTTCCTCGTGCTCTTCTCAGCCACATACTTCAACACCCACTTCATCTTCTCCTTGTCCTTCAAGCTTGCTACCTTTGCCAACTCCTCAAAGTCCTCAAAAAATTCCAACAGCTCCTCTACCTTCCCTTTCCAGTCCAGGCTCTTCTTTGACCCAGGGGTGGGCATCTTGCTAGGGTCTGATGACATCGTGTTTATGGAAACCACGTTCGCAGCGGCTGATTGAGTGAGTATATGCACTTCGGATGACTGATCTGACTGATTTTTTTGCGTCTGCAAAGTGTTTGCGGGGTTTCATCTACCTGCCCTTGGTGGATTTTTGTGTATGTTGCTGGTAAGCTGCTCTTGAACGATCTTGTCATCTTGTTTGTTGTAATCTGCTGATTCTTTGATGATACGATAGCCAACCTTGGCAATGTCTTCCTCAATGTCGGAAGCTGGTGGCACTCGTCCTGGTACTCCTTTTCTCAGTGGTAGTACCCTAGAACAGCCAACCTCGTTCTTCTGACAATGGGATTTTGACATGGCATTTGACTTCGGTAGAATGGTATTGGGATGTATGGGATGAGGATCAGCCGTTTTGGCTTATCCCCTTGCGGTTGGGCTCCAAGTGAATGACAGTAAGTCGGTATGAGTTCGGATGGATAAAGGCCAAGGCTGTAAGATACACAGAATGTAGAATAAGTGAAGAAATCAATGAATGAATCCGAAAGCCAAGTCCTAGGTGAGACATGTCACAGATCATGTGATCATGCAGTCACTGTAACCAACATTGCATCGTAGCCAACCTCTCCCTCCTACACTGTCACGTGCTCAATGTTGCTTGGCATCATCTTGTTTGTTCCAATAGGCGTCCAAACAAAGTGGGGAAGAAAACCTCACTTTGTTTGGACACCTATTAGAACAAACAAGATGATGCCAAACACTAGTCGAACTGACCCCCAAGTCCACTGTCCCTTGTCGGCATGCCAAGCTTTCCAGGTTTGCGCTACCACCACTGATGCTGCCCATTTGCCGGTGCTGGTGTGTACTCTTCTCCTCTGTGTGTATCCACAAGTAGCTAATTAAAGTGTCACAATTCCAGAGTCGTATTTGGTGCCTGGACTCATACCCCAATGAGCTGTTCAACCAGGTGCAGCTCAACGACGACCAACAGTCTCGCATTGATGAATGCCACCCACTCTTGCAGGACCAGCTACATGAACTCCTTCACACTACCCCGACAACAATGGCCAAGCGTGGCTTGACGACTGGCAGACAATGGCATGAGCAAAGGGTTTCGCAGAGGTGATTAGGCCCATCTTTTCATGAGAAAACTACAAGCTAATCATGCCATTTGCCCACATCGGACTCAACCGCAACCTCAACCTACCCACCTTCTCTCTATCGTTCCACTGCCCCTCTGTCCTAGGACTGCTCCACCACCATCAACATGACAACATGACAGGAGGGAGCTTATCAACACACAAAGGTATCACCCATGGCAAATGACAAGGTGTATTACAGTGCATATACAAAGCTTGAAGGTTGTGAACATAGGCATATTTTTGGTGTATCGTTGAGCTATTTTTTCGATTCTCAACATGAGGATGAGGACAGTTGGAGGGAATAACTATGGAAGGCAAGATGGTGTTAGAGCAGCAATAAATTCCATTATTTTAGCTGGATTTTATTTGCGGAGATAGCTAAGTGCCAGAATGACTACCTCGTAGGGCATAGGCAGGCGATTCACCGAAAGAAGCCATAACCCAGGATTTTACCTGCCCTCCGTAGCAGGAAATAGACGGTTGGACCCATACCAGGAGATTTTAGGTATTTTTAGATATGGGTTAATTCCCGGTCGCCGGAAAACACCGGAAATACCTGCCTTTTGGAGGCAGGACGACCGAAAGCAGGGAATTTCATGTATTTTTAGATACAACTTATTTACCGGCTACTGAAAATCCCCGGAATTCCCTGCCTTTTTGGGGCAGGACTCCCCGAAGCAGGTATTTCCCCAGCTCCGGCTTCCCACAGTGTTTCTGAGATCACCTACTAGTACTTCAGCAAACATTCTATCCCTTGCCTTTCATCTATTCAGGCCGCATCTTATCGGCTTCCCTCCCCTCCGCCTTTCCTTTTCGTCGACCCTATTTTGATTCCCGTACATCTTCATTGGCTCAGGCTCAGCGCTCATCGACATCCTTCATCACGCATCGGCCATCGACAAAATTCTTCAAGTTCAAGTGCATAAATGCGTGCTGAAGCCTTCATCTGGAACATTCTCGCGTCTCAGGCGCAATATTCACCGATGACGGTCCTCCAACGTCCACGAATAATAGAGGGTCATGGCTGCTGTTACTCGAGTAGGCGGCCCATCGACGGACGGTCTTGCTTGCCGCCTAACTGTTTCTGGCCAGCGACCAGCGCGAACAGATTCTTTTTTCAACGCCGGCGCCATTTATCCAACTATCGGTCTTATACTTAGGGTCTTATATAGCTCGCCCGTGTTTTGAACCGCCTACTAGTTCTGACATCCAGGTAATTATTCTCATCTGTGTATCGGCCGTATGAATGACACGGAATCCCGTCGACGTATTTCACAATCTCGAGCTACATAGTACGTTTTCTTATCAAGTCTACCCCTTTTCTCGTTAAGTGGATCTGGATTTCAGCGGGGCTTGCCAAGACACGGACACACTCGCACTAGATGGAACGCACGGCCATCGACGATATCCTACGTACAGGCGGCTGCAGTCTCGAAATTGTGCAATATTTGCGTTTGAAAAGCGAGCAGGTCCGCAAAGATGATTCGCATAAGTTGTCGAAATCGAACGGACGAGTCTAAGCGGTAGGCTTCTCCGAGTCAAGTACGAGTTCTCCGAAGGCTAGAGGCCGCGAGAGATTCGATATCGTTATTCACCCTTTTTTCACGCCTTCGCGGCCGCAGGAGCTCCAAGTGATTGTTTCGAAATACTGACCCAGCGCATCCCGCTGTCGGCGTGAAACGCGGGGTGAAGACAAACTGCAGTGAATTTGAGGACCAGATAATGTGTTCGTAGTGACTGACAGAGCCATCGTGTAGGAGAGAGTTTACCCTGAGTCGAAGTTATTTCTGAGCTCCGAGGCTACGTCCCGACTGGAATAAACTTGGATACTGCGAGAATGTGTCGAACGGGGAAGGGGGTCGGCATATAGATCATCGAGCCCCACCGCCGACGAAATTTTTGGGTAAGTGTGAGCGTGTTAGAGGACATCCACGAGCGTTGGTCCACTGGCAAAGAGATGCTTAAATCCGAAGCGCTGGGATTTTAGAACACATGAACGGGAACTCACGGTTTGGCGTTGTTCAGTTTCCCTTGAGCCTTGAATAATAATGCCCAAAGAATTTTGAAGGTCGGGGGTGAATTAAGGCGTTGCTTATTCGTATCACTCCTCGAGCAGAGCGGATGTCATGAACGCACGAGAAGGTTGCACCAAACATGCATTCGAAGTCGGTCTCGAGGCAGAGCTCATCCGATGAGGGTTCAAAAGTTTGAGGTTCGAAGCTGTTGGCCGTTGGCGCGGCCAGGAATAAGTACCACCGCACGAAGTTCGAACTGTGCCTCGTGCGGGGAAGAAGCGCCGCGTATCATTCGGAGGGGTAAAGCGCCGGTTTCCTTGTACGTCGAGAAGCACACATTCGTGACTCTCCACACGTCTGTTTAAAGGCTCGTCGTTTAAAAATATAAGCGCAGAAGATGGAAGTCGCGGTGTATGCGCGTAAGTGTTGCTGAACGGAGGTTCAGAGTCGGTGTGATAAGAGGCATATGCGGCTCGCCTTTACTTGCATAAAACTCGTAATAACGATGAATATAGAGGCAGCCGCGATTGATCCGAGGAAAACACGAGAAGAAGGACCATAGCAGTGCGCTTACCGGCGAGCGCCTGGATACGCTGACGTCGTCTGTAGGTCCAGGCTCGCCAGACAGCAACAGCACTGCATTTAAATGAAGCTATAAGGCGCAAGGACGTCATGTACCTGTGGGCGGTGCGAAGGTTGACCAGGGCGGGCTGTGCACCGCTAGCGCTTCTCGTCGAGCACATGGATAAGTCTGAAAGATGACGGTGCAGAGATGGCGAAAAGACGGGAAGAAGATGGGATTGGCACGATCAGCAGAGGTACGGCGCTAAGTGGCCGAGACGCGTTCACGAAGTATGATCATCGGGAGATGGAGCTGCCCGTCTCTTCTTCACTTGGGTGTGTAACTGGGCGTAAGCTTGAGACATGTATGACCATCCAGAGAAGAGAAACGAGTACGAACACCCATTCGAATATTGAACGGCAGACAGATATCAGGCCTTGATCCGTTTTTGTGGCAGTGGCGGGAGCGGCGGGCGCGTGGGCGGCGATCAAAGGCGGTGCGGGCGATGAGCGAATTTGTCTCACGCACGGACCTCCCATGCCCAGCCTTCGCTTACCTCAGCAGACTGGCGGTGCGCTGTGAGAATTCAAGTTCCGCTTTAAATCGGTGGTATCATACGTTGACGAACACCTGTCTGCGCTACGACCAGCACCCCCCACCCAACCCCCGTCCCCTTCCCCGCCAGCAATGTCAGAAATCAGAAGGAAACTCGTCATCGTAGGTGATGGTGCTTGCGGAAAGGTGAGCGGAGCTTTGTTGAAGGAGCTGTGGGATGCACGCTGCTTGGTGTGCACGCAGCACCGGGTTGCGACAGATTTGCTGACTGTGTTGTGTGTGTTTGCAGACCTGCTTGTTGATTGTTTTCTCGAAAGGAACGTTCCCGGAGGTGAGTATCGTCAGCCGCACTCGTACATCGTCCCCATACACCCAGGCTCGCCCTTTTTGCGATGCCCGACGACTACCGCACACCACAATTCCAACAAATTGGGAGCGGATTGCTGACTTTTGGTTCAGGTCTACGTACCTACAGTGTTCGAGAACTACGTTGCCGACGTCGAGGTCGATGGAAAGCATGTTGAACTCGCCCTATGGGATACGGCCGGCCAGGAAGATTACGACCGACTCCGCCCACTGAGCTACCCAGACTCCCACGTAATCCTCATCTGCTTCGCCGTCGACTCCCCCGATTCCCTCGATAACGTCCAAGAGAAGGTACGTCTTTCGTCTTTGACCCTGTTCGCCTGCGCTGGGCGGAGGGTAGCAGGATAGGCGCTGATGCTGATGGTTCGATTCACAGTGGATTTCAGAGGTCATGCATTTCTGCGCTGGCCTGCCTATCATCCTCGTTGGCTGCAAGAAGGATCTTAGACGCGACCCTCGGGTCATTGAGGAGCTGAGGAAGACGAGTCAGCGACCTGTCACACCGGAAGAGGTATGTCGTTCTTTCGTTCGTTTTCGACAATTCTTCGATTTTTCGGACTTCTTTCGTTGTCGAGTGGACGGCGTATGCGCTGCTGCTACATGTTGTCCTCGTATTTCTCATGCCTTTCGTTGTCCTTTTTCGACCCCTTTGTGAACCTTCCACCAGCCACCCTCCCTGAGCTATCGTCTCATTTTACGTCACTTCCTATCTCAATCTGTGCCCACCACCTCGTACGACCACCACCGCCTTCCTCGCCCCCGTATTCATCCGTTTGCCCCTTTCCACGTCGCCGATTACCCTCGATCATTCCTTATGACGTCTTTCACGACCAGCGTTCCCACTCCCATTTTATTTTTCCCCGTTTTCCCGTTATCTCCGTTGAATTCCCGTTGTGTTTGCCCTTTTTCGTGCTTTGTGTTCTGCACTTGTTCGGGTGGTGAGGCGACGTTCGTGGTCGCCACAACGTTGTGAATGTTATCTTTTCTTGCCTGCGGCCCCTTTTCGTCTTTGTTTTTTTCTTGGTCTCTTCTGACCTTATATCTACCGAACGCCGTCTCTCCTTCCTCCCTTTATTCTCGTCTTCCAATCCCTTTCCTTATTCGTCCTTTCGCTCTCCAACCTCCTTTACTCGCTCTCCATTTCGAACCTCGCTCACACCCATTCTCTCTTAGGGCATGGCCGTAGCGCAGAAGATCGGCGCAAAGCACTACCTCGAGTGCTCCGCCAAGACCGGCGAGGGCGTCCGCGAGGTCTTCCAGTACGCCACCCGCGCCGCCCTCCTCACCCGCGGAAAGAAGAAGCACCACTCGGGCTGCGCTATCCTCTAAATTTGCATTTCGCCGTTAGGACGAGGAGGATAATGGCTAGTCTAGGTTCCGTAGTTGGAAGACGGACGGTAGAACGTGCGACGAGGCTGAGCTGGATGGGAAGGAGAGGAGGGAGGAGTAGAGGGAGTGATACCCGACGATGACGAGTCCGAGTCGAGTCGACGGCGGCGTGCTCGCTCCTCGCAGGCGCTGGTGCTGGTGGTGATAATAGTGGTCCTGGGTCCAACGTATATTTCTTCTTCTGTTCCTTTCCTTCCGCCCTTTATATCACGTCGTGTCATGTTTTTACTCCGTTGTTAAGCGCTATTTTTCCGTTTCTTGCAAACTTCCGGCTCCCTTGTTCTGTGCGACTGACGTTCGAGTCTTGAATTTGGCTCTGAGTCGTACATGTCTCTTCTTCTGTTCTCGTCCTGCGCTTTTCGGTGTTGTTCTCCCAACTGCATCGTTCTCAGCCAACCTTCGCTTCCGTCGTCGCTTGTCGTGGACTTCGTTGCCCCGCCCACCTCTGCACTCTTTCGCTTTCGTGTCACTTCCGAACAGCATTGTAAGTTTATAATAATATTAAGCTTTGGTGCTATTGTGTCCATTTTTCTTTTCGTGGAGGTTCCCATGAACCAAACACGACTTCAAATTTCTTTTCGTCTCTTCTCTCTCAATGCCGCCATCCTGGCATTGTTATCACCGCTTCTCTTCCCTCTCGCCTCCTTTGTTCGCTTGAACATTGCCCAAGCGCCGCTTGACTCCTTGGCGATTCCTGGTGAAAGCTCGTCGGACGGACCGCAGTCTGCCTTTGCTGCGCAGTACTATTCTTACCGCATGGCATACGCGTACACTGCTTAATTACTCGGAGGAGGCGCTGATCAGGAGGCTAGCCGACGGCGAGCGTTTACGTGGGGTCTATTTGGCGAAGTCGGCCGGGGTACCAGCGTTGGGTCCGCGACGTCGACGGCGTGAGGTTTGTGACTAGGACGGGTTGCAGAAGGTGGAGGGAATTTAGCATACTTCACTCTACTTCCCAGACGAGGGAGGTTCAATAAACCCGAGGCGGGTTAAATAAGGGCGTCCGTTCTTGTGACTCTGAAGTTCAAAGCAAAATCAAATAGCGAGGCAAGCGAGCGACTCACATATTTGCTTGCCGAGCTCATCCTTCATACGGGCTGCTGCAACAAATCCCAGACGAAGTTGTTCTGCTTCTGCCTGGCAGCACTGCTTGATTTCAACTTCATAGCAGGCTTTGCAATAGCATTTCGTTTGCCGGACTTTGTCGATTTTGCGCCAGATTTGCCGAACAAATGGAAAATTGGGTCAGCCTGAGACAACGGACAATCAATGAAGTAGGCACGCCACCATCCCCGTCGGGCATTACTACGTGTGGCGGATGACCTCGACATAGCAGAAAGAGACAAATGCAGGAGTAGGAGGCGAAACGCAAAGACGAAGCTGCCTGGTCTGTGTCAGTGATTCTCCCAGCTTTTTAAGCCTCTCAGTTATCGGTTTGAAATAAAAATATGTAGATAGTGTGTAATTTACAACGAGCTTCCACATGCTAATCTGTCAATACTGAAATAATTATACTTCTGAGAAAGATAAAGAGTGAAAAAGGACCTGGAGAAGGAAGGATCCTTGAGGTTGTGAACCTTGTCATCTACCAGAAATGGGGCCTGTGTCACACTGCGGAGTGAAATCAAAGGACTATATTTATTCTGTTCACACAAAAGAGCAAGCCTGTATCACACCGGGGTAAAATTAAAGGATTATATCTATTCTGTACGCACGAAAGAGCAATCTGTCTGAACAAAGAGCAACTGAACGCATAGCGCACTTGATGTTTGATGCGCTGATGGGAGCTGTCTAAATTAGGCTTCGACCCTCGGCAAAGCAGTGGGAAAGTCCATCAAATATTGACCGTCGTTGACCGTCAATTGACCGTCAAGGTGGTCAACGGTCAACGTTCGACCATCAGTCATCGACCGGCCAACACTGGCTTACCGTAAGCATTGGCGCAGATGTGGGTTTTTTGGAAAACGTCTACGATTTGCCGTTAGCTGTCAGCAAGTAAGTCAGTAAGTTGGTCAAAACTGAACGAACCTCCCGCGGCGAAAACCGAGGTTGTAATGGACTCAAGGACTGCCCAAGGTCCTGATAACGGCTGTTTCAGGAATCCAATGATCCGGTAGCACAACCGTCAGCTAACTCTTTCCGCCACTCCAAGGAATATGAATTCCATAGTTCCGGCGGGGTATGTTTCATCACACCCGGTGTTTAAAATCTCACGTTGGATGGCTGAAATCGCCTCTAAAGCTCAAAGTGTCGGTTGTCACCAGAGGCACCATGGATCAACATCATCTCAGTACCGCTCATCCAATCGTACAAGCCGGGAATTGCATGGGCGACCTTCAGCCTGGTAAGTCCTCCGACCTACCTTTTTCTGTTTCTCCGTTGAATCGCCTTCAGAGCATCAGCTATGGAAGACATTATGGCACTCACAACAGGGAGACGGAGTCCCTCTCTTCAGCCAGCATGCGGTTGCAAGAGATATGACCCTCACAGACCAGGATACCGACATCCACAACGACTGCTGGCTGCTGCAGATTCCTGAGCATATCCTCGGTGGCACCTGCACGTCTCCAATTCTCTTCCGCGAGGAGTACTTCGAAGCCCTACAATCTCTCTTTCGTGCCGTGGGATGGGACCACACACACATCGGCGTAGACGACGCAGATTCTCCTGGCCCCGAGTTTCGAAACCCCCTTCTCCGACGCCGAGAAGTCGCCCAGGAGGGACGGAGGTCATGCTTTATCCTCGAAGGCGGCCCTGGAATTGGTTCGTCATCAATGGCCATGTTCCGTATAGTCCCCTCGATAACTTGGGAGGTCAGGCAAAACGCAATGGTTACTAATCGTACTCGTGCTCCGCCTACATGCGTGTCTACCCACGATTTATCAGTGGGCACCAGATCGCATTGTCTTCTTTGACCAGGATGGGCCAGTGTACTACCGCACCGTGGACGATGTCCTGAATTCTGCTGCTGCTGTTCAACTCTGGCACTCTAGAGAGCTCTGGGTACTCGTGGACGTCAAGAACGACCACCAGCACCCCGTAGACAGACTTTACCACTCCAGGGGGGTATTCGTTATCCAGGCTACGACAACGAACATCAGGTATACAAGGTGGAGGGACAAGCTCAGTTATCCGGGTGTATCCTTCCTCCTCCGGCCATGGTCGCTCGCTGAGCTCATCATCGGGTGCGTGGCTACTCTCGCATCGCATAGATCCCAAGGGCTGACTTGATACTCTCCAGACGAAAGCTACACGAGCACGCACCGTCGGAGCGTTCGATCCACGACTTTGTGCAGAAATTCGGCACCGCACCGCAAGCCGTATACAAATACGCCGATGCTCAGAAGGAATACGAAGCCGAGGTCCTCACCTCGCTCTCCTCTCCACCCTACCTTACATCCACATCCTTTGACGAGATTGCCACCGACTTGCCCGCACTCATCGTCCTCCGGCCTACCAACCGCCACCCAGTCGCAGGTTACGCAGCCCACCTCGTCTCCGCGCACGCCGCAGGCCTCCTCATGCGCGCCAAGGTCCCGGCGGCGGCGAAACAGGCGCTCGCGAGGGCGCTCTACTACGAGTTCCTCGGGGTGCCGTTCCTCAGGCCGCCGCATGCGCTCGAGTCGGCACTCTGGATCCGCGAGGCTAACGCACGGCGTAGTTTGTGTGAAGGGCGGGTGTGGGGGCTCTATCCTGCGGATATGGCGCCGAACGGGTGCTCGAAGGCATTGGAGGAACGACCGTACGGTGTGCCTCCTACAAAGCACTTGTTCGTGCACCCGGGGGCGGCGAGGGTGTCTATCGAAGACGGGCTCGTGCCTCCCGATTTGCGCCCCTTTTATTACATCGGCCCTACCATCGCTGACCCGGAGACCGTCCTCGCAGATGTCGACCTCGACTACGTGCTGCTCTACGATCGCAGGACGCACCATGCCATCGTCCTCGAGCCGCTCAAACCGATCTCTCCGATGCCCGCGTTCGAGGAGGAGACAAGGCGTCGTCTGCAGGCGTTGCGCAGCGATGGCGCACGGGAGATAACTTACGTGCGCGTGCGGACGAGCCGCTATGAGGGTGTTAGCTTAGCCGTGGGCGATTTGGTCGATGAGGCGTACGATATGTACCCTCCGCCGGAGGATCCCATCGGCGGCAGGGGGATGTTCATTTGAGCGTCGTGGATTGTACGCGTGAAGGCGGAAGAATTCCTTGCAAGAATTGAGAGGCTCTTGTTCGGAGAGGATATTAATTTGAGGCTTATGTTTTATTGTAGTGCGGTTGTAATTAGACAAGGCCACCCACAGCCCACTTCACGCTTGAGCTTGAACGTTTGAACGGCCGCCCACTAATGTGTGGACAATGGAACAAGAAAGAAAACAACGCACACGATAGAGGGACTCAGCTATATATACGCCCTTCAGCCTGACCGATTGGATTATCTACCCCGTGTCCTATCACCCTGCCACCCCGCCTTTCGCAAACTTCGAACCCTCCAAACTTGAAGTACAACAATGAAACTCGAAGCATGGACCCTAATCAGCAGGATATTTAGGAACTCTGAGGTCGATTGTCATCGTGGTATCCCACTTCCTGCTCGAAGTCGGAGCATCCAAATTCCTATTGAAATATTTCAGCTCATTTTCGCGTTGGTCGTGGAGTCTTCCGGATTTGAAACACGTTGGATCCTCTCGTGGGTCTGTCGCGAATGGAGGATAATATCGACCGGGACGCCATCTTTGTGGATCGATATCAATCTCGCTATTGTCCCCTCGAGTTCAGACTCAACCCGATCTTCCAAAGCTCAGTCTCGCCGTTTGGAAAATTATGTCAAGACCTGTCTGGATCGGTCGAGGACGGTGCCACTTTCTATATCTGTCTCTATATCACGGTCTTGGTACGAGACAAGCGCCCATCCGTCTCTGGCAGCCCTCGTTGCGCACTCAAACAGGTGGAGAACATTATGGCTCTCTGCTCCACTGTGGGGTTTTAATCAATTCAACAAGAAGGATGATATCCCGGTGCTGGCCTATCTCCGTTCAAAGACGACGCCACACTTCCCGGATATGGAGCTTTCGTTGCCCCTTCTTGAAGAATTGCAGATAGAAATCAAACACAATTCACAAATATTCCATTATACCCCCGACGAAGAGGGAGTATTTCTCTTATCCCTTCGGGACAAGCTGTTCAACAAAATGCCACAATTGCGCAGCATACGTATATGTTCAAAGTGTCCGCTCCGTGGCGTCGAAAATCTGGTCGAGAACGTCTCAGCAATAGTAGAAGAAATAAGTTTAGACCATGCGCCGACAAGCTTTTTCTTCTCCGCCGATGGTGCTCGGCTGAAAAACTGTAGAAAGATCAAGGTGTTACACGTCGAAGTCCTCAACTCCGAACAGCGCCATGCCCCTGAAATGGCGAAAGGATATACCCTTCCTTTTCTGGAGTATCTCAAACTGGGTTTCGAGAGAATGGATGAACAGGCTGTAATTGAAAAGATCTTCGAGATGGTGGAACTCCCATCCCTGCAATCCCTCGCCCTCTACGGCCCGTCCACTACCTTGCTCCAGATACGCCCTCACATCCTTGGCAAACTTCGCCACTTGGACATAAAGGCGACGACATATCAAGACGGCCATTTCATTGTTCTCATGAAAGAGCTTCAAAACATTCGTAAACTAGCAACGCCGCTTCCTCCGTTGTGTGAACTCGACGCTCTGGCTCGTGGCGAGCTTCGAACGAGACGTGATCAAGAAGTCTACCTGCCGAAACTTGAGCACCTCCGTCTTTATTATTCCAACGCACTATGGCACTCAGATGATTTGACGCGCCAGGAATCTCGAGACCGACGTATCAGTTACGTTGATATTTTTCACTCTATTGCTGAATCGCGCTGTGAGATGCCACGACATGGGCCCGGATTAAATAGGTTTGAGCGGTTGAAATCGTTCAGGCTCGAGCTTCCTAGTAACCAGACCAGGAGAGAAATGCAATGGCAGCTCAACGAGCGAGCGTCTCCGGGAAGCATATCTCCGGGCCTGCTCAAGAGCTCGACGGCTTTGAAGGCCCGGGAATGGGAGCTAATGCGTCTCATAACAGGAAGGATGTTAAGTGGGGATGAGCAAGTATGGATGCAACCGAATATACAGGACAAAATGGATAGCTGGTTCACCGAAATAGAGAATAAATTCAAAAAGATCAAGGATATCAGGAAGGTCAACGTGAGTCATTACATTGTCTCATTCTTCGGACGCGGGGGTCAAAAACGACATCTAGCTATCAGAATTGCATTATGCACTCTACGCGTTCCAAATGCTCCCGCTCCGCCAAATCGAATATCCGCCAAAACGAGAGACAGTAAAAAAGCTTAGGTTGCAGGTCCGTGCGCGTGCTATTTTGGCCAAATGGGATGATATGCTTCTGGATATTCTCCCAACTCTACATTAGTTCCGATGTCCAGGAAGTAGCGCAGAAGACTGGAGACTGGAATATCTTTCAAGTGATAGAGGTAAGTTAGAACTTAGACCCCCGTAACACTAGGCTCGTTTATTCACACTTGCACCAGCTGTCCGCCGCGAATCCTTTCAGAAAGAGAAGCTTCGATCCAAGATGTACGGTTTCCTCGACCAAGCGCTCGAACAAGGTTGGGATTTGGATAGACTCCTCTAGTTGCCGTTTTGCTTGAATCCTTGGCCTCTTACCCCGAGATGGGGCACAAGATATGTATTATTAAAGGCAATTCACCCCGTGGGGCACAGCGGTCTGGGGATTCTAAACTAAGGAACCGTTATTTATTTTTTATTTTTACCCGAATTCCACTCGTAAATAAAGCACACCTCGACAAATTTGAAAGGTGTAGGAGGAATAAGCGAGAGGGTGAGAGTCAGAGGGAGGACTGAGCTTCGAATTCTCGGATCTCATCTACCCGTATACGATTTAAATTCGTGGTATGACGACGGAGGGCAGAGATGCAGGCCTAGCTCTCCGTAAACATGGAAGTAGAGGGCCATCCTTGCTTAAAAGTCTTTAATGAACTCGGCAGTGAAACGACAGGGTTGTGCAGAGCTTGGGTACTATGCGTACCATATTTTCACCGGTGTGGAAAACAGATTATGCGAGTTGAACTAACAAAACCAAAATAGTGTCGCGTAAGTGGCTAGGTAGGGGGTAGATCGGTAGAGGTGGGGTAGGAGGAAGATGGGTAGGAGGAAGAGGCAACGTAAAAGCAGAAATTATGGAAGACGGCGTAGAGTATGAGAGAAATAAGGAGTACATCGCGGAGAAAGGAGAGGAAGTGACAAAGGATCGTAAGGGGTCGTAAATTATAAGTAGTGGTTCGTAACAAATACACAGAAAAACAAGCACAGAGAGTACAGAGTCGAGAGCAGAGAAACGAAATGAAGTTACCTTGTAGTGTCCCATGAAAAGTCCCATGAAAGTCTTTTGAGTCCTTCGAGTCCAGTGTCCTTCGAACCAAGTCCTCGAAATGAAGCCCCTCGAGGGCGACGTCCTTGCGCAGCAAAGCGAACCTAGCACCTGAACAATTTCCGCCTCAAAAGCGTATACAGCCCGCTGATCGTCCTCGTCCTTCCTCTCGTCTTTCCCGGGCTCCTCCCATACGCGTAGTCGTTGGACATGCTGATACTTCGCGGCCTCGGCACATTGTTCTCCTTCCAATCGTTCTTGTACCTGTCGCGTAAGTCGGCCCTCTGAACCCCATAGGATGGCTGCGCAGCACCGAAAGACGCCTTCGGCGTTCTGGATGGGATCTTCGAGGCCTTGTGAGGTGACGGCGGGACGGGGAAGGGTACCGAGCTCCTGCGAGGACGAGCATGTTTCGACGTTGACGGTGTCGACATGTTGACGCTGGTGCTGGGCCCGAGAGTCTGCCGAGCTTGGGCTTGGAGCGCCTGGATGGTCGGAGCAGGGCGGTACCACGACCGCGGGTCCGGGCCTGCGTTCGTCGGGGTAGGGGCGGGGGCGCGGTGATGGTGGTCGTAAGAAGCTCCTCGACGGTGCCCCTTCCCGTCTCGCCTCTCGTATCTCTCGTATCCCCTCCCTTGACTCTGGTATTGGCTGGAGTAGGGTTGGGCAGATGGCGGGCTTTGGTAATGAGCAGGCTTGACCGAAGACGAGGGTTGTGTCGAGTACGGAAGAACTGGGACTTGGATCGAGAGATCAGGCCTGGGTTTATTGGATGTCCTCCGCTTCCTCGAAAGGGGGGCGGTGTTCACGTCGGTCTTCGGGTGTGTATACGCGTTGTAAGAGGCGACGTTGTGGTTGGCGTTATGGGAAGGTTGAATCGTTGTCGAAGGAACCGCGGAGGGCCGAAAAGAAGACGGAAGACCAGCAGACGGTGCTGTCCGTCTCCTGAGGCGCCTATACCGCTCCTTATCCTCCGACGGGTAGAGGTCGGGGGCGTATTGGTATCCCGAGGTCGAGTGGCTGGCGTTGGCATTGGCATATCCGGACCCAACGTTGTGCTCTTGTCCAGCACCGGAGGCATACCCAGGCCGATTGTTGTACGCGTAGTCCCGGCTATACACCTTTGGTACCTGCACACTCTCCCTCTCCCTGCCCCTCCTCCTATACTCTTCTCGGTTTGAAGGGTCTTTGCAAGTTAGAGGACGCGTCTCTGAGCGCCTCTTCTCCCGGAGAGGGTTCTGGTACACGCCCTCTACCTTCGATGAAGGGTAGCGAGAAGGTGAAGAAGGACGACGTTTCCTTGAAGATGTTTGAGATGGGGGTACGTGTGGCATGGTGTAATGCCTCTGCTGAGGGGCGTACGAGCTGGAGTGTGGCACTGCGAAGGAAACCGAGGAAGAGGTGTGCCCCCTGGGCTTGTACCACGATCGATCCTATCGTCGACGAAGATGATGAGAGGGGGTATGATGTAAGGTGAAGAGAATCGGACGTACCATAATCTCTCCTCCGTATGATCCACCAATTGGGATTGGCACTTTCATTTGCGGTTGGAGCGTAGGAGGTGGGGGCGGGGGCGGAGCCATGTGTATGTTCAAAACAAGTTAAGTCGACAGAGGTAGCGGTGCGATCGATCTTCATAGAAGAAAAGTGGGGTCGATAGCGGAATCGGATAAAGTTGGGAGTAGGAAGAAACAGGGCAGCGCCACGCGAGCCTTATTTTATACCCAAGCACGAGTTGAAGTGGCATTGAACTTTGGGCCACCGAATAAACGTGCTGGAGGCTCAAGCGCACTGAACGATGGAATAAGGAAGAAAGGGTTGCAGAAAAGGGGATGAATGAGGTCGTTTACGTGCCCCAGTCGCGTACGTGCCACCGACTACCAACTAGGCGAAGTGCTGTGTCCGATGGGCCTCGAAAGAGGGTTGCGTGTCCTCGTGGCGGCGCGTATCATCCTGGTGAAAGAAGGGCCAAATAGCGGCTGGTAGTGAATGGATGAGGACGACGCCCACAGACTCACTGAGCACGAACCAACGGTCAACAAAGTCACAGCGAGCAGATAAAACGGAGAAGAGACATACTCGTCGTAAGTTCGTAATTCCGTCCGGGTCCTTCTCACCGTGCGAAAGTCTATCTTGCGGGAACGACGACTTGCATGCATCATGGGCAGAAGGAGCTGGTTCAGGTGCGAGTGGGGCGGGGGCAGATGACGGAGACGCTGCCTTTTGCGGCTGTGTTTCCTTAAATTATTGGATCTGCGTAGGACCCCGAAAACCCGCCATACAGGGGCCTCGACGATCCAGCCAAAACCCGGACTTACTTACTGTCCGAAAGATTAGAGGTCAATGTGACCCGCAAGATTGGGAGGTGGGCTGACCTCCCGAAAATATATTATGTTGGCTCAGAAAAGAAGGAATTATCTTTTCCTTGGCGCGTGGGACTTGACTTTCGGTGGAGAACTCGGATAAAAATGCAAATCTGGTCCGACAAAATGTCCCTAAAAGACACCCAGATGCTACGGCTTTTCGGGGGTCTTGTCTGTGCCTTGAGAGGACTTCGAACGTGGAGAGGATGATATCATTCGAAGGAGGCGGGCGTTCGTTTACGTGGTCTTGAGCGACGGCGAGGTGTACCCTCAACATGTTGGGGACCGTTTGGAGGCGGCGATAGGCATCGAGAGTGCGGATGGAAGGGGAAGAGGCAGGTTCTCTTTCTGATGAGGTGTTTGTGAGAGCGGTAGCGAGTCTTCGCGTGCTGATGAGGGTGTAAAGAAATGCGCAATCGGGTGTTTGCCGCAAGCGGGGCCGAAGATATGATCAGTGCAACGAAGGAGACTCCCTCGTTGGCGCAGGCGAAAGCTTTTTGGTGGACGACGGCATTCGGCGGGATACATGGATAGCCCAGTGGATGGCTGAGCTGTAGCGATATTTATCGTGGGCTTTGTATATAGCAGATGAGATTTACGAACTAGTGATGCCTGGGGAGAGACTGGCAGGCGATAGGAACTATTAATACGAGTCATTGTGGCGTATTTTAAAAAAAACTCGAGCGCTTCCATCTTCAATTATTTCTGGCCACCTGACATAAAGAAAGAAAGGACCGTCGCCTAAATTTACGAAACAACTCTCAGGATTCGAGTGCCTACACCCCATGTGGCTCTTGAGAACGTTTGAAGCGAAGACACGGACGTGAGGGGTCCTGACCACCGCGAACTCAAGAGTTTAATGGAAATGCATAATTTACAGCCGCTCTCTATGGATGATGGAAAAGGATCGAGCTCCGTAATTCGCTAATTATTCACCAGCCATTTTCATCTGGTACCCACCGTATGTCAGTGAGTTGGGACAGGGATTTTTGTTTCGATTTTGTTGATGGTCGATGATGCATGTGCATGATGGGCGATTCAACTGCGTTTAGGTTAAGGGATGTTATTTGACGTAGAGACGTCGAGACCGACCGTGGGACAAAGAATGATAAGATAAGGAACTCGCGCCACTCAAGCCGAAACTTGAAAGTGTCTTACCTTCTCCTATGCAGACAAGCATCAAGACTTCGATTGCCATTTATGTAAACTATCGAACGCGTTCGAACGATATGCAACCGTACTCCACTCACGCTCACCCAACTATGCAAGCCGAGAATGGCGCACCCGTCTCGAGTCGTCTGCAGCCTGGTAAGTAGCCCCGACCGCCTTTCTCGCGTTTGTCCTTCACTCAGGATAAATCCCCTTCAGAATACAAGTTATGGAGGACGTTATGGCGTGCACGACCCGAAAATGGCGTCCCTTTCTTCCGCCAGCACGCCGTCACACGGGACACAACTCTCACAGACCCCGACATCCGCGTCCCAGACAAATGCTGGCTACTCGACATCCCCGAATACCTACAGGGAAGCAGTCTTGGTATCAGTTTCCCGTCGCCGATTCTATTCCGCGATGACTACTTCGAAGCCCTGCTGGGGGTATTTCGTGCCCTGAGCTGGGAGGATGAAAAGATAGAGTCGACGGACGTCGGTTCGTCTGACTCAGAGTGTGAATCCGGATTCCAGAACCCTCTTCTCCAGCGACAAAGAGCGGTCTCGCGAGACCAGTGGCGATACTCGTGCTTTGTTCTTACTGGCGGGCCTGGAATCGGTACGTAGTCTATTATAATGCCTCATGTTAACTCCCATGATAACTCAGGATCCAGGCAAAACGCTCTGGTTGCTCGTCCTGCTCGTCCTGCGCCTGCACGCGCAGCTTCCCACCGTTTATCAGTGTCGGGACGACTGTATCCTCTTCTTCGACGAAGACGGACCGGCTCAGTTCCAATCCGTGGTCGATCTTCTTCATTCCCCTGTCGCTCGCCGTCATAAAGGCGAGGAAGTTTGGGCTCTGGTGGACGCCAACGACAACCTTCAAACTGTGGACATGCATTACCTTTTTCGACAAATGTTCGTCATCCAAGCTGCTCCGACCGACATGAAATATACGAGGTGGATGAGAAAGCTCACCTTCATAGGTGTTCACTTTGTGCTTCAGCCATGGACGCTTGGTGAGCTCATCGTTGGGTTCGTCACTCTACATTTTTTTCCACTACTTAAAGAGAGAAAAGAGAATTGGCTTATTGAATTTGTACACCAGACGAGCGATACATCCGCACGCGCCGTCGGAGGACGCCATACGCGACTTTGCAGTCAAGTTCGGGACCGCGAACGAGGCTGTATACAAGTACGCCAACGCCCCAAAGGAGTACCAAGCGCGGGTCCTGTGCAAGATTTCTCCCCCACCCCCTCAGGCAACAGCATTCGATAAGCTAGGCGTCGACTTCCCCGAGCTCATCGTTATCCGACCCATCAACGCAGAAGCACGGAGGTGGGACTACGCACCGCACTTCGTCTCAAAGTACGTCGTCCACCTCCTCTTCCCCTCCTCTGGTACGGCACGGCGGTCGGTAGAAGAAGCGAAACGGCGGTTTGTCCAGAGACTATACGGGAAGTTCCTCGTCAAGCTCCCGCATTCCCGGGAGTCGGCGCTTTGGATCCGCGAGGCCAGCATGCGGAGGAGCTTTCAAGAGGGGAGGGTGTGGCCGCTGTACCCACCAGCTGGCTGTTCGTGGACAGAGCGCCGCAACCGCAGAAACGTGCCACCTCCGAAGCGTTTGATCGTTGAACCAGGAGGAGTTCGGGTCTATGTCGCAGAAGGGTCCCCACCCCTTGCCTATCCCTACTCGACTTCTCTCTCTTCCGAACACCGTCCTGAAGAGAACGCCCCTCTAGTGGAACCTTCGGAACTATCATCTGGCACCGATGATATCCTCCTAGAGGTCGATATCGACTTTGTCGCGCTGTATGACCGCCCGACAGGCACGGCTGTGGTACTTCAGCCGCTCCGACCGCTCACACCCATGCCCGCGTTCGAGGAGGAGACAAGGGACCGGTTGCAGGAGCTGTGCTGGCGGCTTGAGCAAGAGCCCTACGCGCTGGGAACATCCACGAAAGAGAAAGACCCGAAGATCCTCTACGTCCTCGTGCCGACGGGTGGGGTGATGGGGGACGACAGTGCGGCCTGGCTCGACGTAGCCGACCTTGTTGACGAGGTGTACGATATGGAGCCCGAGTGGGAGGATACTATTCTGTCTTATGGGATGTTCATCTGAATTCGATTAAAGGTCGGGAGGTGGGATTCAAGTGTGGTGTTATACATGAATTATATCTTTCTTTTTAAACTGTCGGCAGATTGTGATATACGTTCTCCTTCGAGGAAGAGTACCTTGAAGGTGAAGAGGTCGCTCGAGGGGCTATACGGGCGATAGCAAGATATAGTACCGGCGCTGGGTTCCGTACGAGGCGGTGTGTCACGTCGAGGAGAAGGTAGGCATGCTCGACGTGGATGAGTAGCCTTTGAGTCTGTACCATGATCGGCCCGTTGCTTTGACTTGGTGCCTTGCCGCTGACGGTGAAAGAATCAGCTAACCCTTGCGTGCCCGAGTCGCGTAGATACCGCCTTCACTCAGTCAACCGAACCCTTTCGTTCGACGGCCTTGAAACAGATGCCCACAAAGACACTCGTACTCACTGTGGGGACGAAGCAAACGGTCAAGTAAAGTCAAAGCTATACCAAGAGTCATACGTACTCGTTGGACCCGCGTATTCCCTATCGGACCCTTCTCTCCATGAAACGCCCTCGAGCGCTCGCACCCACCCCGGATTGCGCAAGAAAGGCAACAGCCAGTAACTTCCATGCGTTGTAGAGAGGTGGTGCTTTAGCTGCGAGACGTGCCCTTACCTAGCGTCGTTTCCTGAAGGAAGGAGGTCAGCTTGGTCTGTGCCTTGGAGTGGGAGGTGCAGTGGACCAATGAGAGGAGAACCCGAGCCGTGGTTGTGATATTGCGGGCGTTCGTCTGCGCTGGCGGCATCCCGATCGTGTTGGGATTAGAGTATGAGAATAAATCGAGTTGAAAGAATATCTTCTGTATGTGCTGAAGCGTTTGCGAAAGCAGCGAGTTTGCGCGTGGTTGGATGGCATAACATATTACGTAAGTCGCGGCACTGGCCGAATGAGGAGACTAGTACGATAAGATAAGATGGGTATCCATTCGGCGCATAATTACATCAGTCTCGAGTTCCGTACTTTTTCCATACCGCTCTCTACAACACGACCAGCCAATCAATTGAGACTGTGTACCGTCCATAGCCCTTCCACAGGAATGGCCGTCTCCGGTAGGGGTCCTCGGTAGCACTCCGTGCCCTGCCGAAGTATCCCCAATATTGAAGACTTTGACGACAGGGATTGGGCCTTCAAGAAGACCAGTGCAATCACGACTCCTGGCGACAATTCATCGTCACGTTAGGGCGGAATAAAAGACCTACATGTGGTAGTAGCAGGCCACCGATTTACATACGACGGCCATCTGTTCTGGAATTCTATCGACCATCGACTGAATGCGTTCTACGCACCGCGGATGTCAGTGTAGACCGGAGCGAATGAAGGAGAGACCGACGACTGTGGAGTTGTTTGCTGCGTCGTCGCAGGGGCCTTTGAGCACCCCCAAGGACGTACAATTTTGGGCCGAGAGCTGCGGAACACCGAAGGCGGTGTGCATCGCGGAGGTAAGGATAAGAGGAAGAGAGAAGAGATTCATTCTTGAACCTGTAGCTGTTGTTAATAATTCCTTGTGGACGGAGGTGCTGTTATACACTGTCAGGACACGATCGATTGGCGCAGAAGTATGATTGGAGGCCCCAATATGATTAGAAGTCAGTGGGACCAGCTAATGGTCGATCCTGACGCCCACCAAATCGAAAGGCTATTCACTGTAGTACTCTTAGGAGAAGATGGGATCAGACCCGTGATTGTGATGGACGCTTAGCGTCTCATTATTTGAATCTCGTTGTGAGTTCTCGGTTCGGACACGATTGAATTAACGTTTAACAGTGGAATAATACTCCAGGCACCGGTCATAGGTCAATGGTGTTCCACGCATTCTCTGCCGCCGCCGCACGGTCCATCCAGTCCAACGTCATACAGTAGCGCCAGTTCAGACAGCTTCGTGAGGTCTACTCTCCCTTAGCAAGAATTTCTTGATACATACACATCCAGGCGTACGATATTTTTGGTTTATCAGAAATGGACTAACACCTGCCGCTACGACGAGACGGGGAAAAATAGGCCGCAACGGTAGTCTGGCAGATAATTTTTCTGCGTCCCCGAGTCCACTTTCGACTTCAGGAGCAGTACTTAGAGGGTATCTTATTTAGATAAAGTGCTTAAGCACTAAGCAGAACGGCCGTCGATTGCATGAACGACGCCAGCGGCTTGAAGAGGAGCCGGCGCGTGCTTCAAACCTCGGTCCAGAGTAATATATGCCTTCTCGAGTTTTAGCCTCTTCCATCGCTGTATTTCGGTGCCATCGCCGTCGTAGTTAGAGAGTTGCATAGAAGGAGACGTCGTGGCCGTGAGGGCAGATGAGTAAGCTAGTTTAGACCTTCTCATTGAGAAGGCGTAATTCCAAATTAGGTAATGCCACAGTTCGACACGGCGCGGGGTGCCCATTAGTATCGTTGTGTTCTCTGCATTGGCGGTTATGTCAGGAAGGTACCTTCACAAGTCAAGTGAAAGTCGCGGGACAATCTGAATCACGCACCTGCGCCCTAACTGGTTAAATCATAATCTTATCCCATGTTGTCTGCCGCAATTGAAGGAGGACGGTTGCGAAGGATTGCGTGTATCGTGGTGCGCAATCGTTCTCAAAGAAGAGGTGATTCTGATATGCTCTTCTCCACCACCAACTTTGTCGACGAGTCCTATGATCTTGACCCTCCTGCTAGTGATTCCTCGCCATCTGTCGTCTGCATATTTAATATTTAATGCAGGTTACAGTAGATCCATCAGATAATGAGTCTATTTCGGGCATATCGCTGATCGTTCCACCCTCTTATTCTGTTGCATTGGCGCACTTGGCGTGTCTCCTTGCCACGGTAATTTTAACAGGGAAATCTGAGCAATATTGCTGCTATTCGAAAGTAAAGACTGAGTCCCAGAAAGAAGAACCCATGTTCCGGATAATTCTCGTTGGAGACCTCGAGTTGTTGTCGTGAGTGGAGAGCCTAGAGAGCACTGGGTTTACGTGGAGTAGGTAGTTTCCCCATTGTCTATGCCTTGACCCCAATTCTCCGGGATGATTTCAGTGTTTTTGTCGGTAGTATCAGAATCACAAGAACAGCGACACTGTTTCATGCAGTAAAATTTTCGGAACTCCGTCCAAGCCCGTCCGGGTATCTGGAATGCCACTGCCCCAAAAAATACTCTGGAGACGTCGGACCTTGCAGTCGCCGACCCGAAAGAGCCGTTGGGCGCTTATTTCGCTGTCAGCTGATTGATCTCAGTGATGGGCCCCTAATGGTTCACCCGGGAACTGACATCGAATTCCTACGTAGAACTCTCGAGGCGTAAGTCCGTACTATGGGCGTGTTTTCAACGGTAGCCAGACAAAGCAAGCTGAAAAGGCAAGTCTTGACGGGGAGAATGGTTCCGCTTTTCTTGTCGTGCTCTCTGTCAATACTGGCGACGCCACAAATTGAAATAGGTCGCCCACCTAGAATAACGACTAGAAGTTTAAAGAGAAGGGATAGGTGTGTACATATGTTCTTATAGTTCGGCTAGTTCGTCCTGGTGTTCAACCCATGAAGTGTGGACGATTCGACGAGCACGAGCGTCAAATCCGGCTGTGTGGAGTACGTTCATCATCGATGGCCTTTCTGTTTCAAATAAAGCCATTCAGAAGTACTATGTAATAGAGATACCCTCTGTTTATCTTGCCACGGCCTTGGGGTCAACTATCAGCAAGTGAAGCGGGCAGAAATATATCAAAAGCATGCAGCTACAGATCATGATCTTCACCTAAGCAACTCGACTTTAGAGTTCAATAGCACGATAATATGCAGCTTCTAAAAATTTAATTAGTGAACTTCGTATCTACAGTACGAACCAGAGCCTCCTTTTGGTGATGTAGAACTTAAATTAAGCACAGACAGTCAAGGGCGTGGGGGGCTGCCTGCCCGAAATGCGATAACCTTCAGAAGTTGGGGCTGAACCCCAGCACGATTCAGTCAAATGAAGATGACGTGATAATAGTTATGATTCATCCCAACACCCACCTGCTGTACGCCACTCTAAAACGATGAGCTCAGCTCGGGATCGATGGTCGGCACTTGTTCGACAACAGCAGCGTCTCTTGTTCGCGCAACCTCACGCCACATATTCATTCTCAGAGCGTACCAAGAACAGCCGTGCCAGGAATAGCCCGAACGTGACGGTAATCGAAAGATTGGAAGCAGGCTTGGCCATGCCGTGAGTGCATTCTCGCGGGTTATTCCAACCGTATCTTGCTTTGGCCAAAGTCTGTGTGACTCGATGAATCGAAGATCGTCGGAAATCAGAGGTTCGTTTAGACCGGGAAGCTGGGCGCTAAATTCAGCCTTCGCTCTACTGAGATCTGAGCGGAGTTCGGATGATGCCAGCAGTTAATGACTTGGGAAGATAAGAAAGGTCCTGCTTCAACACGTATACAGAAGCTAATGATATTGATTCATGCAATCTTGGGGCGAGTCCCGTGGTAGTCCAGCTACTCCACCAACAGAAATCTGTCCCCGCAAAGGTTCAGAAGTCCTACTACCGCGAGGATATTTCGATGTCCCCATTCTGATGGCCACTCTAAGTGCTGAATGATTCCGCAGTTCTGAGCGAAATAGCTTGGGCTTGCACGTCATCTCGTTGACGGGAGACAAAATTAGCGCCAGCATGAAAGCTCGTGCAGATAAGGTGGGCTAAGAACTCATCCTCGTGCGAGGTAGACCTGCCCAGGACGGATCGCGAACGTGATTATCGTGAGATTTAGGAGAGCGAGCAGATAAGCCAGGCGCAACTTTTCTTTAGACATACTCTGAGCATGCGAAGTGCCGTCGATGCAAGGGAGCAGGTCCGGGTCGGATTTTGGTCAATAAATAAGACTTGAGCATTAAAAAAGAAAGATACCTCAATTATCACGATGCAGGAACGCGAATTCCGGGACAAGATCCCGCAAAGCGCCGCATAAATATGAGACGCATTCCCCAAGCACACGTTCAGCGCTTAAGGAACGAGGATGAGGACGCCAAGTCCGACACTTCGGATAATCGAGTCCCAAATTTGAACAATGGAGGTAGGCTTGTGAAGTCCAGAGTTCTCCCAGCATTCGCACAGGTTTGCAACGTCTGAAGCGGGAAGCCTGGTGTGATTATCAGCCAGGTGGAGCACAAGAAGCGACCAGAGGCTCCGAAAGCATGGGCTAGGCCCCACGAGAACTGCGAAGTGGTCCCCACCCCTGGAATAGACGACCAAAGTCGGCTGTGAGTCTCACCGCAGTATGTCTTCTGTTTACTCAGAAACGCCCCGGCAGAGCCATTTTGCGAAATGAAAAAGCGCGGAGAACACCAAGTGAACAGGGCGATATGTCGCAGAGTTGGAGTGTGGGCGAAGCTCTCTCGGATGAAGGTGAGAACCTGGAACAGGAGAGAAAGAAGGGAAGTGAAAACCTCACCGGCGTTTGTGGGAACGGGCGAGTCGTTTCAAGCTTTTGAACGTGGAGACAGCGGCGATCAAAAAGAAGGAGTGGCGTATGGTGGCGTGGTAAGCGCTAGGTGGTAACATTGTAAACTCGAGCCAGAGTCGGATCTGGAGGCAATGTGAAGGTTTGAACCTTTCGAAGTTCAGCCTTGCATCACAGTGTCAGAGCCCGTTCACATAACGGACGCCAAGAGCTTGAAGCTCCGTGAAAGACACAAGGTCATTTGCAGGATGTCGGGGAAAGGCAAGGCAACTTGGAGTCGAATTTCCAACGCCACGTAGGGGGTAACGAGAGTCGAAGTCGCATTTCCAACCGCCAGGCCTCCTCTCGTCTGCCACTATCTACGAGATGAATGAAGGCCACACCGGGTATGTTCTGTGGCCGTAAACCTAGAGTCAGAGTGTGAGTAACGCAACGATGAATGAAGGATGGAACGGAGACTGGTCCTTTTATATCGTGAACCACTCTACGAAGTGCTGCGCAGTAGCTGCAAGGCATGCGCTATTCGGGGTTAACAAGAACATACGAAGCGCCTTGAGCTTAACTGGCGTTCGTCGTATGCATATCAGAGTAAGCTCACGTTCACTCGTTCACTTTGTCACGTCTCACGATACTCACATCACAAGAGCAGCCCGGGTTCACTTTGGACGTTCGACATGTACAGCCTCGCGAAGCCTTGTAAGTATCAATCGCAAACGCGCACCAACATGCTGTGACGGCCTAGGAGCTCGCCTGATTCGAGCGTTCACAACATACAAAGAAAGTAACAGGGAACAATGAGTGAAGTGAAGCGGTCTTGGGGTCCCACCTCCCTCCTCCTCTTAGTAGTAAATCGAGAGAGAGATCTTCCCGACTTCCCATCTCCAGCGAATTGACATATGAGAACAGCTGCTAGCCAGAGAAAAGGGCGAAGGGCGAACACGGGAGAGAAAGAACCTCAGGCTCCAACTCGATCGTCGGAGAAGGGAGGTGGGGGGAAGGAAGAAAAGAGGAAGGTGGGTCCGCCGGCGTTCGGTATCGGACGCTGGGAAATGGGGACGGGGAAATAGGGAATGGGCTTAGAGGAGAAGGGTGATTATGTGGGTATTGGATGATAAGAGAATACGAGCGCTCCGCTCAACAGCCGCTTGTTCCCGTGGTATTTCCAATAACCCGTGAATTCGGGCTTTATTGCACGCTTTGGGCTGATTTAATTGTGATATCAATGAGCGCTTCCGCGATCCGACGATACATAAACGGGGCTAATCTGCGCAAGAGAATTGAGAGAACATACTAAGAGAGGATTTCAAGAGAGGCATGATAAGCGTCGAACACCGCACGTACCTCTCCAGGTCCAATCGTCGAAACGTCGCCCACTACCAACGCACATCAAAGATTTGTAGGCTTCGTATCCGGTATATCATTGTCAAAAGGAAGCTACGTCAAGCCGAAAGGCGCCAACAAAAGAGCACCTGCCGCTTATCTGTTGTATTCCTTCTTTCTCCTTCAGGATAAAAAGAGATAGTAGAAGGTCGACCAATTACAAAGGTCACCTGCCGCTCCGCCATATGCAGTCGTATGCTCCCACTCGGCGCTTCCTACTCCCCTTCCACTTTCCCTTAACACCGTACATAGAAATTCAAATCGCACGACGTCGTCTGAGGAAGGAGTGACTAGAGTTCAATAATGAGATGCGGTGGGAGGGCTTCCCCGGAAGTCCGTCCGGTGTCATAGATTCCCTCGCGCTCAATTCAATCGCGCACTTCGAAGAGGGAACAGGCGGCGGAGAGATAGATAGTGTGTGGCTGTGCTATCCACCGGCGCTCTCCGGACACCGGCGCACGCGTGGGCCTCGGCGTGAACTTGGGTGGGGTAGGACCCAGAGTTCATCGCAAAGGAGAAATACGATAATAGAGATGGGAATTGAAGTCGAGAATGAAAGACTGAGCATATCGGCGGTGGCAGGTTTTACATACATATGAGTTTACCGCAAGTCTTATGTATTATATCAGCGTTCAATTCTCTTTTGAGAGAAGTGGGCGGTGGATGTTCCTCACTACAACTGAACAATATACCAACTCACCAACTCAATTCAAAAACATCCCATTCAAATCTCCCCACGTATGTAAATAAAGATGGGCGTCAACCTCGAGGCGCGTCACACGCAGCAAGCCTATCACCAATCAATGATTTATACTCAGGGTAAATAGACAACGGCACACGCGCAGTAATCAGTCACGTATGTAAATGGCCTGACGTCTTGTCGACGACATTGAAAATAATGGGCGCTACGCCCCAGACCCTGGGTTGCCTCGCGACCTGCTGTAGACGCCGATGGTCGGCTCGTTCTGCGTGCCTCATTTGGGTGCCTCGTGCTCAGGGCGAATCGATGACGTTCTTCTGGGGAAACAGTTAGCGCTCGAACTTCAGAGGCGCTATAGCCAAGTGGTTACGGCGACAGATTAGGATGCCGTCGTATTTCGTAGTAGTTATCTGTTCCTCTCCCTACTGGCGTCGCTTCGTTTTGGTTTCTTGGCTTTTGCCTACGTGTTGCTACCACACTGTCTCAACGTGCCGTTGTCCATTCGAGAGAACATGTTTTTGATCGCTAGGTATGTAGGGATTTGGAAATTTTCACCCTGATAGGACTTGATCGCTCCGGAAGCGTAACAGCCGGCAACTCTCAAACTTCCTCGACCCACATCCAGTCTCAAAACGCACATTCACATCTTCCGATTCCGAAGAAGGATTCGAACGTCAAACATCACTTGTGGCAATGGCGTTGAAGGGTTGACCTTTCTGATCACACTATAGTTGAAATTCGCACACCAATTCACATTCATCACCGACATGCATGGAGGGCGTTGTAAACGCGTGTAGTGCAGTAATAGCATTCTGCTCAGGTGCTGCACTGTCGTACACTCCTTCTGTGCTCGGCGAGGCCACGTAAAACGGTTCAGAGTAGCGTAAGCTCTTCCTTTATACTCTCGAACGAACGAGTCACAGCGTCAAAGATGCGTACGTGACTCGCATAGCCTCGCTGGGCGGATAATTATAGGACCCGAGATGGGAGACAGCAGGCGCCGGTTTGGCGCCGAAACAGGCAGGCTGAGCCCAACACGCGTTATCATCCGAATCACCATCAAGACGAACGTGTGACACGCCCCATGACAGTGTGCGCATGGAGATTGTCTCCACCTAGAAGTCCTTTCGAAGACACTCTCTATAAAGGAGCATTGGAATGTGAACTCTGGCGCCGAACAATAGGAAGCGCGCGTGCGGCACACACGCACGCCGGGTAGAACTTGGGAGAACTTGAATGGAGAGAACCGGACGAGTGGGGCTTGCGATCGGACCTTGCGAGCCGAAGATAGATCGGATATCAATTTTCACGCCGCTTGGCATCCCTTCATCGCCGGCGCCTGCCCACCATCGCGAAAGGCGCGCCCGATACCCCCAGCGCCTATTGCAGACGCCCGGGTTAACAGCATCGTCTGGCGCCTATCGCGCCTTCCTAGATGGCGCATGGGGCCCATACGTGACCGAATTGGCGCCCGTGGGTCAGGGCAGCGGGGACAACGGGTCCCAAGGCGGCGACCCGATACGGCTGATCAGGGGTTTATGACGGCCGGCGTCTGTTATTTCCAGAGGAGTGACAGAGGTCATCAGTTTGTTTACGTATGAACCGGCCTATTTTAGCGCTCGCCTCAGGAAGCTGACTTTCAAATCGCCCCACGTGTCACGTTTGAGGCTGTTCGCTTTTCATTCTTGAACCACCACCATCTCCTTAGCGCCCACGCTGTCTTACCTCCCACATCCCCCTTCTTAAAGTGCCATGCTCTCAACACAGACGCCCACATCTTCTTCCCGACCTCATATGCCTCCCAAGGCCAATGGCTCGCGACCGACGAACGGTGGCAGTGAACACCTAGCGGTGGCAACGAGTGGGCGACGAGGTGAGTGCTATACACGTTGTCGCGAGATCACGGCGGCTAACGACGTCCTCAAGGCGCAGACACCCTCGAACGACGAATCGCACCCGGCGCCTTCCACGATTCGGGGAGAAAGTACGACCCACCAAAGTGCCAGCCTCGTACGCGCCAATCGATCATCAACATGATCATGCGCTGGGTCGACGAACAGGTGCAGGAATTCGGAATGATGTGGCTATATGGGCCCAGCGGGGCAGGAAAATCGGCCATCGCCCAAGCCATCTCGCAGCTATGCTTCGAGCATGGCAAATTGGCCGGCTCGTTCTTTTTTGCACGCGCGATAGCAGGTTTGAACACGGAAAAGCATCTCATGGCGACGCTAGCCCACCAGATATCACTCTCTATCCCCGAAACCCGACGCTACATCGCCCAGGCTGTGGAGAGCGACCCCTCCGTCTTCGCCGGCTCGCTCGAGACGCAGCTCCAAACGCTGATCGTCAACCCTCTTTTGCAGGCTCAAGCATACGCAACAGAGACCAGTGGAAAGCGAAACGGACCGGGAAGGCGCTGGGCCCGTCTCATCGTCATCGACGGGCTGGACGAATGCCAGGGCGCTAACGTCCAGCGCTACATCGTCCGCATTCTCTCCACCGCCCTTATCCACAAACGGGTGCCGCTCTATATCCTCATTTCTTCTCGACCCGAACCCCCCATTCGAGACTCGTTTAATTCTTACGACCTCCGCGACATCATACACACCCTCGTCCTCGACGAACACTACCTCCCAGATGCCGACATTAAACGATACTTCTGGAGCAGGTTCGAGAACATCAAACAAACTCATCCGATGCGGACGTACATTCCAACCCAGTGGCCCTCGCCGCAGATCATCCAGTCTCTCGTCCAGCGGGCGTCGGGTCAGTTTATATATTCTTCTACGGTCATCAAATATGTCGATTCTCCACAACACCGGCCTGTCGAGCGCCTCGAGGCTGTTCTCCGTATCCACAACCCAGAGGGCGACATACCTTTCGCAGAGCTCGACGCACTGTATCGCCACATATTCGCATCGGTTCACAACATCAAAGGCGTCCTCCGCATCCTCGGAGCCATCCTCTTCGCCCAGCGCCTCTTCTCGCGCCGCACACCCACCGGCGGCAACGAGCTCCCCATCCCCGTCACCGACCCCCGTTTCCTCGAGGAGCTCCTCGCGCTCAACCGCGGCGACGTCTCTTTCATCCTCGCAGACCTCCACTCCATCCTCGCCGTCCCTGATTCGCGCCGGGGCGGAACCACCAATGCCGCCGCCTCCTCATCCTCGAACGCTCTTCCACATCAAGCAAGTGCGAGCCCTGGCGGCCATCGCGGGCCGATCGCCAACAGCACCACGAGCCCGAACGCACACCCAAGCGCCGCGGCGGGCAGCGCAGCGAACCCGAAGACGCTCGACACGGGCATCAGGATACTACATAGCAGTCTTATCGATTTCTTGACGGATCGATCGCGGGCTGGCAGGTATTTCATCAATTCAGTCAAGGTGCATGCTGAGCTGGCACGAGCGTGTACTCGGAATCTCCTTTCCGGTAAGCGCCCGGTTTTGTTTTCTCTGGTTACGTCCGCAGAAACTCCGTTCGTTGCTTACTGAGCTTCTACAGGTCACAAGTTCGTTCATCAATACGCAGGCCAGGCCCTTGTCACGCACTGTCGGTATTCGGTTCTCACCCACGAACTCCTCGCCGACCTCCTCAACTTCGACGTCTCGATATGGATGACGACGTGCAAGACGTGGAACGACGGTGGCGGGCCGTACGACCAGGCATGGACCGAGCTGCCCCACTTATTCCACTGGTTCCGTTCCCAGGTATGTCTTTTCATTTATTATACTCTTCTCCGCGTCTAACGGAAGCTTCTCACCTCAGACGTACCCTGACCCATCCAAGGACCTCTACGAAATCCATACCCGCGCATTCGACCAATACCTCCTCAACGAGCTCAAGAACTACGTCCCCGACGAGCCCCTCTTCGACCTCCTCACGTTCGTCACCTACCCCAACCTCCTCTGGGAATGGTTACATATGTGGCCCTTGCTTGGCGTTCCGGCGGCAGAGACCGCGGAGCGAGAGGAGGTGGATCGGCGGTCATTGTGCCTCATGGGGTTGAAGCAGCCGTTCGACCAGTATCGGCATATCCTGGCGGGTTTCTTGACGGATCGCGAGCGGGCGGGCCGATATACGTTGGATGGGCGGCATTACGCGAGGGTGGCGCTGAAAATGGCGAGGTATTTGTTCGAGCCGAAGAAGCCGTACGTTTCGTATCTCCTTTCGTTGTTTCTTCGGCGCTCATCTTCGTTTGCAGAGGGAAAGTCTGGGAATACAAGCTCCCATCCGAATGGACGTGGTATCGACGAGACCACGACGACAAAATCTTCCGCGAGAAGAAGGCAAAAGACACCTTCCAAGCGGGTCTCCAATACCTCACGTTCTACCTGCAAAAAGCAACCCCCGACGCCGCCCTCGTCGACTACCTCGAGAAGAACAAGTTGGATCCTATTCGCGCCCAGGAGCTACCTCGACTTGCATGGGCGGAGGATAAGACGAAGGTCGAGGAAGGTGTGGTGGCATATCTGAAGGTTCGTCATTCTGTTCGCCGTCGTTGGCTGTGTTTCTGTTCGGTTTGGGCTCATCTTTCCTTCCTTTCCTTGTGTAGCGTTGTCAGGAACAAAATCGGAGTAGCAGAAGCCCGAGGTCGCCGGTCCAACAAGGACATCCATAGCGTCGGTTGTCGTTCTCTTGTCGTCTCAAACATTGGCGCCCTTCTTCCTGATGTTATTATATCTTTGTCTTTCTCTTCTTCCGTAGACTTCTAGACACGATCGCGATGATCACGAACTGCACGAACTGTAAGTATAACGTATGTGCTCCCTCCGCCGATGCCATGTAAAGTACGCCTCATACCATCACAGCACTGTATATGTATTCATCGCAACATAGCACATCTTTCTCCTCATACCCTTCAATTTCCGTCGATGTTCGACAGTGATATGAAACCTGCATGTGCGATATCGATACGATCCCATCCGCCATTCAATTCATCCAGCGCCTCTTATATAGCGCCTCTCCCACCGTGTGTCAAGCTCCCTTCGCACAAACGTCACTTCTCGCGAGAAATAGCACCGTACTGAATTGAACGATGGCACTCGATAACGACGGCGTAGCCACACTGCTGTGCAAAACGTAAATCTGACATCGCGATTGTACAGGTCTCTCATCTTCACAATCGTAGCCCTTCGCTCAACTCGGGGATGGGTATCACGAAGAACACGAAGTGAGAAAACTCATTGTGATCTCCGTCGCCGAGGCGTGCCAGACACACTGCCTTCACTTCGTCTTCGAGGCATTGCGCTATTCCGGCCTCCGCCCGGCATCGTTGCCTCATCGATGACCCTATCACGAACGCCAACGCATCCGAGAGTCTGGGCCCAACCCAAAATTCGAAGGTCGGAATTAGCGCCGGCCGTACTGTCCCAATCATGATGACGACCTACGACGCCTTACGACCCAGTCCGGTCCGAGTTCCTTCATTCGACCTCTCGGTACTCAAGTCAGGTAGAGTTAAATAGGAAATTTTCCTATGTTAGAGTACGTGAGGACACATGTGAGAGGCGTGGTGGGCCCGCTTCCATACTCCGAGTCTCTCATAACCGTGATGTTCGGGCTCTAGTGGGGCCTGGGGAGAAATAGAGCGTCTATTTGTGGCCCTCTGTCCTCGAAGCGCCTGCCCGCATCATGCGAGCTTCCAATTTATCTTGCCAAGAATGGAGCTCTGGCGTTTTCCACCACGGAAATCACCACTCTACATGCTCTACCGGTCAATCGAAGATTAATGAGTGGGGTCCACCATCGAAGCTGGAGCCCTTCTAGGGTTCAATAGAACTAGGGTTATTGAATTCATCGATTGATACCCGTGTCGGTCAGGTGAGTTGAGCGGATGACGAGATAGACGAAAATAAGCGCCCGACCGGTTACCTGGGTCGGGAGATCCTTCCGGGCCTCTGAAAATTTCGATCGAGAGCTCTCCGGGGTCCTGATATACGGCTGGAAGGACAAGAGGATGTTGGAGAGCCGTGGATTTGCTGCGGCGAACTGAAACAACTTAAACAAGATCCTTACCGACCTCGAACGGACGGCGAGACGTTTCAACTTGGCAGTGTTGGGCGCTTGCCGCGAACGTCGCGAAATAATTTACATTTCTGAGCGTACTCAGGTGGAGATAGATACCTGATATCATAGAGTCGCAGCATGGAAGTTATGGTCCTCATGACTCGAGAAATCAAGGGTGTTACATTCATCCTTACTGAATAGCTTGCGGCTTAACGAGTCGACGGACCCCAAAGATGTATTCCCAATCAGAAGGGGTGTGAATAAGCTCAACCGTCAATCTTGAACGTCAGCTTTCCCTTGAGAGGTGCCCGCCTCCTCTTCTCCTCTAGGCTAGACGAAAACTATTCCTACATGCATTTAGAGCGCTATAGAATATATTTCTCCATCGAGATTGTGACTAACCTCTAAATAGAAAGGGTCTCTGACTTGAGTCCAGGGATATCGCTGCGAGAGGCCGTGTGCTTTGAATTCCTGATTTCTCTTCGTTTTCCCTTCTCTCAGAATTCCGAAGCTAGACGGCGTACAAATGCTCGGCCTGTCTGCTGGATTTCGTCGTACCTCGTTGGAGGGCTGTAATAAATAGACTTTGTAGTGTATATTCCAGTTACATGCCTATCATATAGTTAGTCTCCACACTTTACGAAGAATGTCGTCGCGAGACCTGGGGCAAGATACCAGACTAAGCAAAGTGCTTTTCTGCCGTTGTTATCTGTTGATGCATTTCGCTGTATTCGACTAAATAGAACTCTACCCTGAATTCGGAGATGCTTAGGGGCGATTTTACATTCAAAGCGTTGTCAGAACTCGAGCTTCACCGTGTTCGTTCGACTAGCATTCACCGCCTCGAAAGTATGGACATCCTTGGGCATGCTGCCGGGCCTTCTTCGATTTCCTGTTTTCCTTCCTCTTCTCCTGTTCCTCCCCGTGCTTATGCTTGTGCTGGTGGCGGCAATTCCATTCCCCTCGCGGCACCGCACCCGTGAAGTGATACTTGTCGTCGTCCGAGGAGGTCTCGTTTTCACTGTCAGCTTCATCTGACGAGCTGTCACTATCGTCGTCTGAGTCCCAAGGGCACGAACAGTCGGGACGTTTAGCTTCCTTGTCTTGGGAACTTTCTGCCTTCCTATGTCTGTCTTCTGTAGGGAGAATGTCGACGGAGGTAGGTAGAGTCGAGACTTTCGGCTCTCTGGCGTCGGAAGTCGAGCTCGAGTTCTCCTTGTGTAGGTGGGCGCTCATGTGCGAGGTCTCGACTGTGTTGGTGGGTCCATTGGTGTTGACATTCGTTTGAACTTCAGGATCCATATTTAAATTGGTGACGAAAGCTGTGGAACGAACCTGGGCGAAAGCGAGGGAAATGAAAACGTTAAACACAAGCCGCTCCTTATATACTGACTCATGGAAGCGGCGTGTATAAGCACGCCTACAAGCGCAGAAGAAATGAACAAGCGAGTGAAAAAGGCTACCCTTCTTTCGTCGAACAAAGGTAGGAACAATAGAGAAAGTATACTCCACGCCTTTTCGAGAGAAGCCGCACTGCCTCTCGCTACGCGCAGCGCAGTCACTATGCACGCACGCCATAGATGCAGAATCCAGAGCATGACGCTACCTAATCACGTCCTTCACCCACGCGATCATGACAGGTTCAATGGGGGAGAAGCTCGACGGCACCGCTGGGGCAATAGCTCGCAAATAGATACGATAAAGGCTCGCTTAACTGAAAGGCCACGGGCGGTGTTAGTCTGCGCAGCGGTGGCTGTGCTGGAAATCCCGTTTTTGTGACCGAACACCACAAGCGAGATACCCTGCAAGACACACGTCACGTTCACGTCGAGAAACGCAGGAATGAGAGCGTAGGGGAAAAGAAATTAGCACACGATCGGAATAGTCCTGAAAACCCGCGAGGTAGTAGCTTTGAGAATTGGAGACAGTACTTTCGTAGCGGAAGTAAAACTTACCTGACGTTCTCTCGAACGTGAAGTACGCAGTCGACTTGAAAATGTGAGGATTCCCTATCAAACCGAATAAATAGTCGGGTAGTCTTTCTGGTATAATCAGTGCGAACGAAATAAGCAAGTTGACTATGCACCTGTGCACAGACCTTTAAGTCCGAGCAATTCTATAGATAATTGGGAGACTTACGAACCTTTGCCGTCGGAGCATAGGATCACGCCTTTCGTTTCCTTCGCCCAGGACGCGACGTTCAGAGGAATGTCGTCCACTTGACTTAGTGATACCTGATTCAGTGTGGGCGGCCACTCGTGAATAGGGACCCACAGAGTAAACACCGTGAAAGGCGATCAAAACTGGAAGAGAGGCCGAGCATTCGTACGAGAAATCAAGCCTATGAATGCCTCAAAAATGATCCATAGGCTGATAACGGACATCATTTAACGGAACATACTCGTCGAAGAGATAGGGGAAAAGCCAAAATAGCTGTGGACACGGAAAGGAAACGCGCTCGTACATTTGAACAATCCGTTCTGGTGTAACGAACTTCCGAAAGCGAAAGGCCAGCAACCCCGAAAGAAGGAAAGCACGGAGCACAGTGCCAGCAGAGGCAGAATAGAACGACCGTCGAGGCTCAGATGAGTACGTCATTCAATGCCTCGCCTGCGACTCTGCTGGCCGCAAAGAGCGTCGAGGCCGCTCGTACGAGTGTTCCACGCCGGAACATTGGGAAAATGGAAACAGAGACGCGCATTCTAACGGATCCTGAGATGAATTCCGAGGGAGCCTATTTCAGCGCCCTGGGAACAGAAAGGCGAATCCTAGTCCGTAACGCGTCTCGGCTCTCGAGCGGGGTCAAGGATGAACATAACAGAGAAACACCCCGAGGCACAGCGGTATCAGACACACCAATATGCGCGGCTGGCGACGAATTGGACGAACTAGCAGGTCTCGCCATTTGGTCGATCATGTTGTCTGGCACTTCGCGCGGAGTTCAAGAGTGAAAAAATAGAGCAGATAGACGTAAGTTGGGCCGTATCTCAGAATACTGTGGGCACACCGGAGAAGCACGTCTGTGCAGCCTTGAGCAAAGCTGGGGCGTGCTAGTGGAGAGACCCTTCGAAGGACACAAAGGGCACAAAGGACACAAAGGAGGTCACGCACCTATGCCGAAGGTCCTAATTACCTTCCCCCTAATTCTATCGCTCTAAGACAGCAACTGGTGCACGAGGAGGCAACGAAGGCGTCTCTCAACTGAACTTCTACGTTTATCGCGATGTTGGATGGCGGTGGTCGAACCAGAATGGATGAGCCAAGTACTGAGCAAGGTAGAAGAACCGGAATCGAGGACAAATAGATGCCTTTGCGAGGCGCTGTCGAAAGCAGTGGAAAATGCCCAGGAAGGCGGAGGGCAATGATACGATGATGTCCCTTGCACTTTACCTCTGCAAAGCGGTACCTGTGAGGGAGAAGGTGCATAAGACGATAGATATATATAACTTGTTTCTGATTACCCACACTTCACTCAAGATATTGAGGGTCCCAGGCAGCATAAGGAGATCGCGACGTGCAAAAAGGGCGAAAGGCAGAAGTCGAACCAACATGCCGACTCATGCCGGCCGTGCTGATGTAATGTTCACGCGTTTCCCGCGGCCTAATGACGCCAAGGAAAAAGAGAGGAGAGCGGAAGACAAGGGTGCGACAAACGCAGTACGCGGCAAAAAAAAAAGCGAGTACTAAGATAATGAAGGGAAGCAGGAATCGTCCTTTATGGGATGAAGACGGTGAGGGTGTGGAAGAAGCGGACATGAAGTGGTGGGCGTTTGGAAGAACGATACGACCAACAGTGAGCGGGATTATATACTCCGTCGAAGACCATTTTTTGGGGGGAAGGGTCACATGATGCATGAGCACTGACCCCACGATTTGTGAATGTCAATTTTCTGGGGCGAACGTTTTGGGCAGGCTGATGCCCAAATTTAGAACGACCGCCATGGTGTTACAATTTTGAGGACAGAAGACAGAACAGCGCTGTCGCCGTTTGACCGTAAGGGTCATATACAGCTTACAAAGGAGATAAGTACGAGCGAACCTATGCGCCTCGAAAGTAAGCCAGGGAAAACTGGCGAGAAGGTGGATCTTTTGTGCCTAGCGCCCGTGAAGCGCGAGAATGAAATTATTATACCATGATACAGTATAGAGAGAGAAGATGGCGGTCTAATCAGAGAGGATAGAATAAGAAACGTAGTTGTAAGCTTACAGAAATTGGGAAAGCGTCGTGACGACTGGTAAATTGTCAGGAAGAAGGCGTAGTAATTTATGCCTGAATATAGAATGTTGAAGACTGGGATTCCCCTTCGACGGCAAGGGATTGACATGGCTTGGAAATATGCCAGCCAAATGTAGGTTAAGAGAAAAGATATCCATGGTAAATCGTGAGGGAACAGGGAGGTTGAGGAAGACATATAGAAGGCGAGCCGATTACGAGCATGAGGCCGGGGGAATCTCCCCTCCTACATACCTTCTTCGTGTTCTTAAGTACTATGGGCAATGGTCGAACGGCAAATAATCGGGAACAGGTGTTGAGAGGCACGGAAAGGCTAGATAGAACTTATTCGAGTCCTCAATGTCAGAATCGAGGCCGAATTAGATAATCTCATGATGTAGTTTAATTGTGCAATAGCGGAGTGCCAGCAGGATGGAATCCCCACTACATTGCCCTCGGTGTTATGACTGGAAATTATTTATATATAAAGCTCCTAATAGAAGAAGGACAAGCATTGCGGGAACAGCAATTGACTTCTTCACGACGATTGTGTCTGAAGAAACGGCGTCGACGTTGCGCTCCTCCCTGACATAATGCCGAGCGAAGAGGTCGTTTTGAATCCACAATATCTGCACGTGTTATCCGAGGGCCAACAATTTATCGATTAGAATCGTGTTTATAGAAAAGAAGGAAAAAGAGGAACCTTGTTGACCGCTCGAGAAATAGCAGTTTTGGAGGGCATATCGAGAGTGGGATGAGAGATGACCGTGTCGATTAGGATATCCTCAACAAGTCCCAGCAAAATAGCACAGTGAATATATTCAACCCAGAGGGCAGGCTTGCTGATCCTGCGGGACAATGAGAAAGACGTAATGTAAGCAGACGTAATAAGCGCTCACCGATGCTTGAATCCAACAGCGCCGGTATGAATCAACCCTACCTTATCGAGGTAGGCCCAACTCTCTGGCTTCGCATAATCCATCGTGACGAGCTTGACCAGATACCCGTTCAGGAAATCTTTCCTAAACTTGACCTGAGGGTGCTCGAGGGTGAGGTCATCGAGTTTCGCGGGTGCGTTGCCTGTATACCCCGTCTGGCGGGGCAAGAATGCGCTGGCAGTAATATCGAATAACAGAAGCTTAATGTAGACTGTGTCGACGATGGCGGGGACCAAGGGCGCGACAACGTCCTTCGCAGCATGGAGAGCCGCGGCGTCATCTGCGGTGAAGTTTATGAAGGTGCGGAGGTAGTCGACACGTGTGTGGACGTCCTCAAGTGAGGCTGCGTTGACGTGGTACATGGTGGGATTCTTTGGTATAATAGTTTGCTAGAGTATATCGGGACATCGAGGTAAGTGCTGTATATATGCAGAAATGAAAGGAACGCTTACAGAGAAGGAAGAGGACTGGAGCCGCCGGTTGCGAGCTAACCGGAGGGATAGAGTGTGTCAGACACAACTCCTTCATCCGTCTCAATCGCTTGCCCGTCGTGAAAAATCGGGAGGAGAGCCATCGGTCAGGGTGCCCCCAATGCCCCATCCTTGACAAGACGTCTTCTGGGTTCACTGTGCTTAATTGAGCGCGGAGAATGGATGGACTGAAGTAAAATGAAGTAAAAAGACTGAAGCAAAAGGACTTACTGCATGGAAACGCGAGGATCCGTACCACTCGTCTGAAGATGGAGAAGTTCGGGGTCGGCACGTGCCTGAAGTTTGTCAGTTAGTCAATCGATGGCTTCCACCTTGTCAGACCACGGCGATCGGCGGCGACAAGGGACGGTGCAATTCCCGAACGTGACCGCTCTGTGCGAAGGAAAGAGGATGAAAAGACGACCACGAAGGACTACTTTACCTGCCCTGCGGGAACAACCACCGCCCGGAAGTGAGAATCCCGGCAGACCCCGCCCCTGTTCAGCGTCGTGAAGTGAGAAATCGAGGGCGAGAGAACCAAAACTCACTTCACCTTGGCTATATGCGTTTCGAACGACAATTAGGGCCTGCAATAAAAATAGACTGCGAAATCCGGATGTTCTCCCAACGGTCGAAAATCCATGAGAATAGGCTACACAGTGTATGATACGCCGAATGTCGGAATAAGGAGAAACGATGTCGGTTCGAGGTCAAAAAGGGCCCTAATAATGAGAGCCTTGTGATATTAAACTCTGCGTGTCCTGTCGAAGGCCGACCGTCAGCAGGATGAAGTCAGCGTATCAAAAGAATCCTCGAGGAAAAGGCCTCACTCATGTACGAAGGATGCCATTCGTTGAACGCAAAACGTTCCACAATCTGAGAAATTATGCCGTCAGAGAAGGGGAACAGCTGCACAAAGAATACGAACAGACAGCAGTGGATTCTTGGTCCGAAATTTGAAACACCGGCGACGCCAGAGCTATCACGTATCTAGAGAAGAAAGATGAGATTGCCAACATCAACCATGTGTATTAGACGGAATAATCCAATGCATCTTAATTAATCCGAGGTAGAGAAAACACCATAAACCTATGCTTCGAGGTGCACATGTCCAAGCAGAATTGATAAAGCAGGAACGCTGAAGAGGCAGCAGGAGATCGGCGAGCGACAGGAAGATAGCAGGAGGGTTCACGGAAGCTCGGTCGACGTCAGACAGGTATATCACCCGCTCCGTCGTGCTCGAATCCGGAAACTGCGCAGACCCTGTCGCCCGCGAGATCGTTCCACACCTAGCCAATCCGAAAATAGAGACAACAAGGTGCATATATGCGTGTCAGCGCTCGCAGAAACGCTCGCAGAAGTGCTCGTATAATGAAGACTTTGGGACGAGAGAGAGCCCAACCATCTGAACAGAAGAGAAGAGGAAATGTGAAGGTAAGAAGAAAAGGATGGTGGGAGGAAGCGATCCTGGGCACCGTAACGGCCAACGTGCAATGATCAGGGGAACGCTCTGGCAAAACCATATGGATGTCCCAGGATGTAAAGGATTCGACAATCCCCACGTGCCAGCCAACACACGTTATATGCGTGCCTGGAGATTGCCAGGTCCATCTTGATGCCCGGTGCTTCGCTCGGCTTTGAGAGTTCAAGAGCCAGAGGAACGGAGGGTCAGTGAGGGTCCTCACAGCAAAAGGCCTGCCGGGGACGGGGATTTTGCAGACCTGAACGGAGTCAGTATATAGCGCTGACGAACGATGGTACACCAGCATATAAGACGTACCGGTAATAAGTTGAAGATCGCTTTCTCCCATCCCATCCCATCCAAATGTTCGTCTCTCCGCTTCGAAAGACACTCCTTTGGCAATCCAACGAGGCTTCTACACGAAGACGTTGCATTCATCGTTGAGATCGGTGCCAGGGAAAGTTTGGGCAGAAGAAGCTGGTTCTGAGCGCCGCAACCGCTGGTCAATTCCGCCCAAGGTGGGCTGAGAGGAACAATGTAGCGGCAGCGCGAGTCGCCCACCCATGCAGTCGAAGATCGCCTACACGAAGCGACTAAACAGGGAAAAAGGATGTAAGACGAAGAATTCATGGACTTAAATGAAATCTGCTCACCTTACGCACATATGTAGAACAATTGGGGACCAGGTTGGAACGACGAGTTCGCGAGATGAGAGGCAAGAGAGGTGCCGAGTCATGCCGGGATGTTCCAGGCTGATGTAATTATTCTCACGCTTCGACCATGCCGCAACCCCATGACATTTCACAGCGAGCACCCTTGGCTCCGGTGGAATAAAACACAAATTTCCAGGACAAATCGGGATGGAACGAGGACGACGACGTGATTCGCGAGGCACCGAGGAGCAATTCCTGCTCAAGAACCGAAATGCATCCCCGGCTGAACGTCCTCCCATCAGCGACTCGAAATTGCAGCAGATAGAGCTTCATGCCGTACGTGCATCGGGCACTGCAGATTCGAAGACGAAAGTTAAAACAGCAAAGAGGGCGGAAATACCTCTCACATACTAGGAAGAAAAGGGCGGACTAATGAATGGACGGCGCGAATACGTAGCATCTTCGTGGATTTCCATATAAAACAACACCGTTTTGCACCGTGGGTCTCTGGAGGCCGAAAAGCACAGTGACCTCAATCACGAAACTCAGAAAACGGGGAATCCAAGACTAGGTCTAGGTGATTGGGTGTGTGACGGAATGTCAGCAAGCGACAGGAGAAGGTTCCTTTATGTCAACAGAAGGCCGATCGACGTTAGACGAGTATACCACCCGCTGCGTCGTCTTCGACTCCGGTATGTGGAAAGACCCTGTCGCTTGCGCAGTCGCCCCCAATCTAGGCGATCTGGAAATGTATTCAACAAGACGCATATATGTGTGGGTGCGCTTGGGGGAGAGTTTTCATACTGAAGTCCCTGAGACGAGAGGGTGAACCGCACCACTCGAACGGAAGATATTGGCGGGGTGTGGCCCTGGCGTACACGGTACTACGCCTCGAATAAAAGACACACGGGTAAGAAGGAAAAGATGGGAGGAGATCATCGCGGAGATCATAATGAGTGACGGGCTGGCAGGGAGATTGAACCACTATTCCTAACGAATGCCCAAGGTTGGGAAGGATGCAGTGATCCGCGCGACCTTGTCAGCATGCGAAAGTTACGTGTCTGCCTGGCGCCTGGTGCTCGATCTGAGTCCGAGAGGTGGAGGATGGGAGGAGACAGACGGGATAAAGATCGGCACGAGGAGCATAGTGAAAGTGAAGACGGGCTTGCAAACGAAAGAACAAGAAGATATGGACAAATGTGACGCACCGAGAATAAGCAAGTGATCGCTCAAGGCCATCCTGTCCAACACTCGTTTCCGAGACGAGGAGGAACACCCTATGGACCACTGATCCCATCTCTTGTTGATCCAAAGCGGAATCGAAGGCAGAGGGGAAACGCCGGGCAGAAGAGGCGCGATAGGAGGCGCGTCCAACGAATATATGCCGTGTGGGGACCGATGATACTGGGAGAGGACATTCGAAGGTGGACGGAGAGGAACGATTCGGCAGGACTTGAAGGCTGCATAGACGAAGCACCTGAAGAGGGAAGAAGGTTAGATGAAATATTTGCGCCTAATCACTCACTATAGGCGCATGAAAACGAGGCTAAAACAAAGAGACCGCGACACGAGAGAATAAGGACGAGCAGAGCTGACGTAAGGACTCTCACCATCCGAATTTGTGTCGCCCACAGGAGTTGCGGAGTCATGGAAAATGGGATAAACTTCGAGGGAAGAGTACGGGCTTGTGAAGGTCATTGAGGGAGGATCCGTATTATTCTGGCGTAGCGGAGTTTCTTCCAGGTACACGCTCCAGCTGCGAAGATCTGGAAGTCAAAGATTCCTGTAAAAAAACGAATATTGAGCGGCGGGGAATCCTGCGAGCGGAGCGTCTGCGTTTGAGAGAACTAGAGACAGTTATAGCGCACCGGGCAGGATAGAATAACACTGCCGATTACCGCACTATCTTGCGACTGTGACGCTACCAAGGCGAATTTAGTACAGAATGAACGCGATGGCTGGACTTCGATGCGTACGGCGCAGAGACGAAAAGATGAGAATATGGTCTTGACGTATCTTGCCCGTCTGAAACTGCCAGCCATTGCTATGATCGTCTCGCGCATATACATCTAGTCACCTTCACTTGCAAGTCGGCGCTGAGAACGATATACCTCCATCGAGGCCATATGGGTGCAACGCACAACTTCGACGGCGAGTTCCGGGTCCTAGTCGCAGCCTTCGAAAATAAGATCTGCAGATGGCCGGCAGACGGCGGCCAGAAAGCCGGTATAGATGCGTGTGAGCGAATCAAGTCGAGAATGTCGAGAACCCCGATATTCGATAGAACTTCAACTGGGAGCAAATCAAGAGACGGCGAAGGAGCCCTCGAAAGTTGCATCTGATACCAATCTTCGATCGAGGGGTTTCTTCGACCTCTGTGAGGGGAGAGGTCACCTCTATTGTTCGTTCAAGGGGTATATTGCATGTATTGGATGGAAACAGCTAGGTGGTGCGACAGAAGATAGAGAAGGAATAGGTACTGTCAGTGAGTGGCGATTAGAAGTGAATAGAAGAAGGGATATAAAGAGAAGAACGCACATGAGACCCCGCAGAGGGAAGATTGACTTTTGAATGCCTAAAAACGAAGAGGAAGGAACTCACACCCCCCAGCTCTTCGGCCAAAAGCGACCAGACACTAGCGAGGAATGTCATTAACTGGAAGAGAAAGCGATCATGTGTGCGTACCTCAGCTCTAAGAAGAACAAGGGTGGATCGCCCGAGTCCGCCACCAAGGCAGAAAGAACCAGAATAACTACTTAGGCGCTAGTCCGCGAATC